CTTTAATGAACTATGAAGCGGCCAAATGAATGGCATATTAATAAGATGTCGGCTTTCAGTGCCATTGCAGCGTTGCATTGATATCTGGGGATAAATCAAGGTAGCTGGGGCAATTTGTAAGTCGCCCGTTAATGTGTGGGTGTATGGGTGTGCGTGTGTTGTGCTCTTAAGTAGGCTACACAGAGCTTCTTCTTGCTATTCCACATGTGTATGTACATAATTAAATGGCTAGACAAAAAGAAACATAAATAACAGAGAAGCTTATACTGCTGGCAGAAGGATATGTTGGTCAGGACCTTAAGCTGAGATACTTGCCCGCTATTTGGCCTCACTTTCTCGTTCTCATTTGCGACCCTCGTCCTGCGCTGATTAATGCTCGTTTGTTTGCTTGAGCCGTGTATCCACTAATGGAATTCACATGTTGCGACATGACTGATTATGTACACATTAGGCGACTGATTTGCAATTCCTAGTGTGTGCCAATGTGGGCATGTGTGGGTGTGTGTGGGTGTGTGTGGGGGGAGGGGTGTCATGTCCTTCATAACGTCACCTCAAACTTGAAGCCAAGACACAACTTTTCACTAGGAGTACGTCCTAGAAAACAATGTCAGCCTTTTTGCACCCAAAGCAAAACATCTGTACGGTCTGGTGTTGGTGTGTATGTATTTTGCACGTGTCCTGCGTCACTCTGGCAAAGGACGAGGCCTGACTAAGCATATTACAGAGTCTGCAATATGCCGAGTAGCGCTAATTGCCAGCCGCTTTGTCCTGCTCTACTTGGCAAAGCAATTTTGCGTACTCGATAATTAACTTAGCACAAAGGGATGCGGCTGTAATTATGGGGACACATTTTTAAATAGTTTAATTGGCATGAAACCAAATGTTAAAGCACAACTAAGCAACACGCTTCAAAAATCCATATGTGTGCCTTAAAGGCCTTTACGTAAGCTTATGCGACAGCCTTCTACGAAGGTTCCTCGTGCAACCTTCCACAAAAAATTTAAGCTTAATTTTGGCATCGAAGTGTGTATATTAAAGCTCAACTACTTTATTTCTGTATACTCGTAGAAGGTACGAAATATTATGACATTTTGTGAAATAAAATGTGACTCACTACGACAATAAATGTTACAGCAGATCTTAGAATGAATAGCTAACATTATAAATAAAAAATATGTTTAAATAAACACAAAAATTTTGTGTGATAATCTAAATATGAATTGTAGCAAAATATAAATATATATTAAATTTTAAGTTTAAAAATTATGTACTTTACGAGATAGCTGCGTTCATAGACCACACAAACAGGACGAGCTGGTCTTGACTAGTATATATATACCTTAGAAGACTATATTGCTGCTCTCAAAATATAACAATTCATACAATATATATAGATTTTCTAACTGAATGTCTTAACCTAACAACTATTCAAATCAATTATTAATTTATTTCTTACACTGTCTTTTAAGTATACATCAACTAGATGCATTACTAACTCCTAAACAAGCAGCTAACTTACTATTCTCCACTAAAAACTCTTTAACACTTGCACACTCAAAAAGTACTCGCATTTTGGCTGGATCTTCGCCACGCAGTTGATACAGACACACAGAACATATATAGTGGAGAGAGGCTGTATGGGTGTGTATGTGTGTGTGTAAGTTATGCGCCAAATTTAAAGCTATACAAAGCGTGACTTTAGTTGGCTGTGCTGTCATTTCTGGCTTAATTGAGCATGTAACAAGTGAATCGTATGCTTTTAGCAGCACACATACGCACCGTAAGCCACTGCCAATGACTGTGAGAAATATATATATATATATATATAAATATATATATATATATGCAAGCATACAATACCAATAGCAGTCCGGGCATCTGGCAACTGGCAGCTCTTGGTTCGGCGAGCACGCATAGCCACCCAGCCACCCAGCCTTTGGTTGTTTTTGGCGAAAACCATATGCGCCCTGTTATATGTTTTGTCAGAGTTTATGTTTGCTGCCAACATATCAGCTGCAGGGTGCAACCCACGCACAGCTACCACAGACAATATTTGGTTGCAAGTGCAACAAAGTGCCCAGCCACATAAACGGCTAATTGCAAACCAACATTATGGCTTGAGGGCGTCAATGCTACTTAAAGTTGTAGTAGTTGTTCACTAAGTTGTTACAGTGGCTCGCCAGAATCTCGCCTGCCTCGTGTCCGTTCGTTTTAGGTGCTCTTCTTTTCCACTTTTCACTCAACGTTACGGAAATCAATCAATTTCCGGCATAGACATTCCAATTTAGTTGCTTTCTCGGCGCAACTGGCGTATTGCAAGGCAAATGAAAAACAACGCAATCGGAACGAATCGATCTATTAAAAGTTATGTCAACTACAACACATGGCCTTGCGGTAACCGGTCACCGCCACCGCAGCAAAAAAAAAAAACAATTATTGTTCGGCTAAATAGCTTTTGAAGCTTAAAGTCACCCTCCTATAAAAACCCCATTTAATTACAAAACATGTGCTTTTGGTGACTAATGTAGTGTAATGTATTCACACTGGCAACTTACCTTAGAGCTACTTACCTTCGAGGTACGCTGTATGTTTGTAGTATAGATATGGACTGTTTTTGACTAGCATATCATTTGAGATCTCTTAAGTTAATTATATTCGCTTTCTATCTGGAATATAATACACATAAATATTCATTTTCATTTTCCAGTTAGTACGGCTCCACGTATTTGGATGATTTGACTAGAGCCATCAGCATTTTCTTCAGCTCTTTGTCTTCTTGGATTTTGAAGAGTCCGTTTTACCTTCAATGCGACGGTAGGAACGTTCGCTTCGTTTGTTGGCTTTGAATTCGGGCCGCCTGTGTCAATCATTTTTTGTAATAATAGTCACATTATTTCAACCGACACCTATTGATTAAGATTTGTATACCTTTTGTATTGATATCAACCACTTCGTTTGGTTTACTCAATGCCCTTATACTTTCGTCTATATCTTCGCCAGATATAGGATCGTCAGGGACTAAATAATTGCATAATTTTTTTATTCATTTATCCGTTAACAATTTATACACTTTACTTGCCGTAAGTAGTCGAAGCAGTGGCGGCAACAAACAACAATAGTATTAGCAACAGTGGCCTCATCTTAAACAAAAATGATGAAAAATACACAGTTTCGCTCTATTTATAGCAATCTTCCAACTCTCTTTATCGTAATGAGACTTACAGCAAGCGAGTATCGTTACTTGCCGTCGCTCTTGACAAAACACAGTAATACAACAGAGAAGTTAGCTATGTTACCTGTAGTAGCTCCACAGCGAGCGTATCCGATCGATCTAGTGAATGGATGTATCTATAATAGAAAAACAGACAGAAGGGTTCATGAAAAATGTCGAAGGGTTCTAATGAAACTCCAGATAATGTTCAGGATTTGTCAACTCTCTTTTGATTATACAAGATATGGATATCACATATTCTTATTTCAAGTCAGCACCAAACATCTTGTTCCGATGCCTTAGTAGAGTACAATATAATTCATACATTTCATCTTTTATTATTATAATATATAAGCAAGTATATCGATATTTATTACAGCCAATATAAAGCATTTATCAGTGCCCATTACTACGACTACATTTTTCTCATGTCAACAATCACAGTCTGTGCATATCAATTGTTGAAGTCTGTATTCGCAATAGAACAGTGTATGAAGTAGATAAATTTCTGTGTGATTAATTTACACTTTCATATAACCAAGGCGTAAAGTACATCATCAAAATAAAGGTGAGATTTGTATAATGATCGACATATATATATTTTTTAGGAAGTTTTTAAACAAATCTTTTCATTCTCAACTGGAATCTGTGACCGCTAGGTCATCTTATTATAATTTAACATGGCTATAGCTAATGCTAACTAGTATCAGTGTCTGAGGATTTGCATAAATTTCCAAGTAGAGCACCGCTTCGTTTATTGTTCTATGAACGTCTTGGGATCCTGACGATTTCCCTTAAGACTTTGTTAACGCAGCTATAAAATATTTGTTTATTATTTCGAAATATGTTTCAAGGCATATCAAAATCTTAATAAATACTAAAGAGTCATGATGAGCTGCCCATCCACAAAGCCAGCAAAGACGTTGCCCGAGTTGACAAGCTTGGATCAGCTAAGAGGATAGCAGGCGCTGCCTTGTGCCCGGCATTCCCAATGGATTTTGCAGTTGCTCGTGCGTGTCGACAAGAATTTCAATTTGCAAACAATAAATTTGAACAGCCAGTGGCTCCTCAAAAAATGGCAAGGGGCACAGAGGAGTGCAGTGGAGTGGAGTTAAAGGCACCCAATAAGTGGTCTAAGCACTCTTTATTAAAGAATAAAAAATATTTTATATTTTTGCTTAGCTGCGACATGCAAATGACAGTTTGGCAGTTGACAATGCCGTTGATTTGAATGTGCTTTGGTATAAGAATTTGATTGGAACTAAGCCGACATTTAAATATTGGATTACCCACTGTTTGCTTTAAGCTGATTGCGTGTCTGCTCCATAAGACGGCGCCAGACTCCGGCCGGAAGTGCTGAACAACAAGGCGGAAATGAATCAATTTCCGTGGGCCAGACTTTTAAAAACTATAAACCACTTGAAGCACTAAGCACAAAGCAACTATAAAGTTTCCAATTAAAAATGGAGCGAGAAGGGTTCTTCTCTTTCCACATACATCTCATGCGAGTCGTAGGCAACTTCGCTCTGTATTGCAGCGTAGGGGCAGTGCAAAAAAGACGAGAGTTATATACTCGCTCAGAAAGTTGAAGAGTATATTGGTTCTGTGAAAGACTTGACTGACTGACTGGCTGCCTACACTTATGAATTCAATATACTTTAACACTTTACGAAGTTATATTATTGTGAAGGACAATCATTAATTTGGGATTTTCGCCAAGCGATAAAAGTGTGTTATTTGTGAATTACTTAAAATCAGCAGGCTCATGATAGGCAATCAACAAAGATCTGAAAAATATGGACTGCTAAGCAACATATTCACAATTCGAGTCAATTTTTGAGCAAACTATTTAATCAGTATCTTAAATAGTGCCCAATGTCGGTTTTTATTGACTGCTCTGCCTACATGGCGCTAGTATATGAGGGCTCCGCTGCATTCCTTGTCATGGTTCAGATGATAAACTTTTCCAAAATCATGAAGGTAACATAACAAACATTCTGGCAAGCAGTCAACATGTAAACGTTTTCATGCCCAACAGTTTGATATGTTGGACGTTGTGATTATACTTCAGGCGATGTGTAAACTCCTTTGTTTTGGTGTCTTCGCCGTTGGTGTCGTTGGCGTAAGTATTATATAAGTGTTAGTTAATGAATTATACTTACTAAAGTAGCTCCACCCACAGCGCAACAAATTGTTAATGCGGCTGTGGCTGCTAATGGCCTATTTACAGATCAGATGGCTAGCCATTGGAGACGTCTTTATCACCATCTTCCATTATTTGTTCAATGACCACGACAAAAGCAGGCAGCAATTTCTGCAAGAGTTATCTGATAATCATGGCCCTCTCATTGGCCAAGTGCTGACTCGATTTGGTATTATATTGATCGCCTATAGATTCTTTAAGTCCCTAGAGCCACGAAAGTCAAAGCAATACGGCATACCGCTTGACCAGGCAGCAGCCGAGCTAAAAGCGAAGTAAATTGCACAGAACCAAGTCTTTTATTGTTCAGCAGTCGTTTGCCAAATTAAAATAATAAGTGTGTGAAGCGTAACAAAGGGTTTCTCTGGACTTGCCGTGCGCTTGGTGACTGTGGTACACTGACATAAATGTGATATATTATAAGAATAAAGGCAAATTCGACAGCTAAGGAGATTGGAAATTAGATTCTATTAGATTAGAGCAGGTGGATAACTTGCCCATAGTTAGCAATGATATCATGATGTTAGTTAGCGCCTCAATGACATCGCCCGACAGTAGCTCCAGGATCCATAAAAAAACAAACACCACATCGAATATCATTCCACCAAAGCACCAGATAAGCCAGACCAGCATCAGCTGTGGCTTGTGCTGTGGACAGCGTTCTCAGTGGACAACACATTAGAATAGAGTCTGAACAGCTACTCACCAATATGATTCCAGCGAGCATCAGCATTGAAATAGCTATCCACACGTTCAATATGAACAGGTAAATCCACAGCAACCGAGCACTTACCCTGTTGCCACGGAACGCTGAAAATAGTTTACAGTTAGGATGCAATCGCTGGCAACTTCTACCACATTCCATTCAAAGTCTCACTTGTCACATCCGTCGACTGCTCTTCTTCAGTTGTTGTTCTGTGGCCTTTTCTTTGGCACAGCATGAAAATAATCATCAGCTCAAAGAACAAAGCTCCTATGATGTCCACACAACCGATGGCCAGGCCAAAGCAATTCAATGCGCTCACCATTCTCGCTTTGCATCGAAATGTTTATTTTCTTTAACTTTTATTTCCTCTCTCCCTCTTTCGCTCTCTCTGACTGTCTGTCTGTTTCTCTCTGTTGACAGACAAAACTTAAAGTTAAAACTGCTGCAAACACTTGATTTTGTGCCATACAGCGGATCTACCCGGGCTGACTGCGTACAAAATGAGCGCGAAAAAGTAAATTATATTTGACATCAGGAAGGCACGTAAATGTCTGCGTGTGTGTGGATACATATATGCAAGTGCACGTATTTCATCAGCCTGGCATTATAAGTATAAACGTATATGTATTTATGCACACATTTTTTGCATAAATAGACAAGAGTTCGCAGGCTACCGACTACCAAGCCAGTCCCTTGACTTGCGCCAGCTTCGAGTTCTGAGTTGCTGTTTCCGTTTCCGCAATCGTTTTTTGTTTTTGTTTTTTTGCTGCTGCTGTGCAAATTATTTTAAAAGGATTTTGTTTTTAACATTTCCAAATGGCTGGGTGTGTGTGTGGGTGCGTGCGTGCATGTTAAATGGAACACTATTAAAGCGCGCGATGGCTAGTCAAAGGTAAGACACTAAAGATGATCCTGCTGATGATATATATAAGTATTCCTACAATCGAAGCACGCTACACAAGGGCTGTTTATACACAGACTGAACTGACTCCAGGTTAATCAGGATGAATCGACAGTATAAAGCAATAAATTTATTAAAAATATAAGCCAACTCAAGAACAACCTTAAGATTTCAACGTTCTGCATTATTTAAGGATCGATTTTGTTTCTGCATTGGTCCGCAGGTGTAGGTGTTGGGGCATGCATCGGCGTTAGTTTGCAATATGTTGCATCTGTAGGATCGGTAGCTTCGACAAGGCGACACAGTACTAGCTTTTGATTCTGGCGGTAGCTCTGCCTTTGGTTGCGGCTCTTCCTTTGGCTGTTGTACCACCTTTAGCAGCGGTGGGTCTATAGGAGGCTGCTTACTTTCCCGGACAACTGGAATGCGTTCCGAGAGCTCTTGATAGAATTGATAGATAATTAAAGCAAAAAATGTTTCAACAACTGTAAGAGACATCAAAAGTGAATAAAAAAGTTAATTTATATGTATGCAAATATGTGTGTAACGCTATTGCTCACATAAACCAATGAATAGAGTCAAACGATTGTCAACCACTCCTATTTGAAAAGTGCTCTTGCCAAAGAAAGCATAAATCAACAGACAGATCTCTATGACAATGCCCACACATGAGAATATAAGCCAATATCTGACGAGCTTCGATTTGCGCTGCAAATAAAATTTGTATTTTATTGAAATTAATAAAGCTCAACTACAACTTACGCTATAAATGCCATAGATAAGCAAAGCAATCAATGTTAACCAAAACATGGCAAAACAGACGGCAAATATGGTTAACCAGCTTAACTGTAATACGGAAACTAGAGTATAGTCTGTTAGGCTTACTCGACTCGAGCTTACATGTGAATAGATTTTGAACAGACTGAGTGCAGCGAAGAGAACAGCACAGAGCAGATCGAAAACGGCTATAGCATAGGCGCAATATAAGAGCGTAGTCTTCTCCGGCTGCATGACGACATTTGATAGCTTATCCGAGAACGTTGAGCAGCAGAAACGCTTGGCCTACTTTCCATTTTTCCCGACTTGACAGAAAGGCATAAATTATAGGTGTGCTGTGGTAATTAAGGCTGCCCTCTACGCAGCTTACGGTGTGGCTCCTTAAAGGCAGCTTTCTCGTCTCTCGTGTACATTTTCCTTAGACGCTTGCGCTCCCTTCGCAGTATTCCAGCACTACTAGAGGTGTATTTGCTGTGCTTTAAGCTACAGCCGGCTTTAAATCTGGTGTATCTCAGTGGTATCCACTGCTCACTCTCAATAATATCCAGGTAGAATACGTATATAATGAACACGAAAGTCATTTCTACAGCTGTAAAAGGATAAGGCACTTGACACCCAAGGCGTTTGGAAAAGTCTTACCCAACCCAGCGAATGGCATAACGGTCAACTTAACGCCCTCCCAGTTCATGCACACCGCCAGTGTCAATCCGTAAAGTAAGAGAAAGGCATCCAGCATAATGCCCAAGCAGGTGAAAACCAACCAGTAGCGCACGAAATTCAACTGGCGCCGATAAATACCCAGCAACAGCACAATAATGAGGCAAATCCAAATGATGGCAAAAGCAAGCGCTGCCAGCGACGTCCAGTGATGCTATAGACGATAGCACTCACTTCGACTTAGACCCAATCCCAAGCTACACAACTTACGTGCTGTGCATATAGCATTCCAGAGACACTGGCGAAAAGCACTGCGGACAATAGATCCAGAATTGCAATCGCATAGCTGCAAACTACCAAATATTTCTCCATCTCATCCAGCCGGCATTTGAACTAGAGTTCAGGCATAGGTCAGAACTGTACACTAAATCAAAGCTATAATGATTATGAGCACGTATTCTCAATATAACAGAGTGTGAGAAGAATGCTGTTGGCAACTCAACTCTTAATCAATGACATTTGATTGTCAAAAGCTGAGGCCCGACGACAGTGTCACTGCGAAAAACACAGCAGTAAAAGTATAAAAATACTCAAATAACTATTTTTATTTTAATTAAAACTGATATCTTAAGTTATATAATTAATTTAGTATAACAATATATATATAACAATTCAATAAAAAAAATGACTTAACTATGAGAATGCTTATAAATTGATTGAAAAATAGCTATATACAAATTTGACCAAACAAAATTACTTGCTTGGATTATACAAAATAGAAATGTGGCAGCATCAGAGGCAAAGCACATAATGGCCTGCATATCCAATAATCTTACACATATAATGACCAGTTTCTTTAGATTTCGTCCTCTGTGCATTCATTGTGCTGATGTGCGACAAGTCTTCTGGCCATCTTTCATTTACGGCATTTGTTTTGTCAGCTGCCGCCTCTTGGCCGTTCTGAGATTAGATTTTGCCCCATTGACAACGTGACTCCTTCGTGACGGAGTCTCGTGATAGACACTGCTCAAAGAGGAAAAAGAAAAAGAAAGAAATAAAAAGGCAACTATCAAACTCAATTATTATTATTGTTTGTGCTGGCAGATTCGAATTGATTTTGGCACTAGGCACTCGGCTAGGCAGTAAATTGAAATGATCTTAAAGAGCCAATGAATGGGAGGCATTTTATTTCCATCTGAATACATATGTATATTTTACAAAGAAGTTATATATGCATTGTTCAAATACAGCGAAGCCCGTCAATAGTATTTTACTTAATTTCTGATTGTTTCAGTTTATCGTACCGCCACCTCCTCTAATCGCTGCTCACGTTGATGCGCAGTGTCTTCATTTCTTGCATTTTCTAACTTGTCCTTCCTGCTCCTTCTTCGCTCTCGACGATAGTAGCTGTGCAAAAACAGATTATTTATTATTGAATTATGGTAAGTTAATACATTTACGACCTGGGTTTCTCTGCGATTCTATCAATGTTGGCTTCCGCGTGTGCAGGAATATTAACGATACTTACACAATATCTGTAGACAATATAAATGCATACCCATTCAATAACTAAAAAGCACAAGAATTCAACTGGAATGTACAGTCACAAATAAAAATTCGCTTTCATTTACCCTATGCCGAAATATAAAAGAGTGAACTGCATAACTTGAGGCCACTCGACATACAGGGAAGTCGAAATCGTCCAAATGAAATAGAATATATCAAATATAAATCCAACGATCGAAAATATCAGCCAACAGACTATGAGTTGAAAACGCATCTAGAATTATTAAGAGTGCGTATCAAAATTTGAAGAAATAAATTTTTACAAATTACCCTCCATAGACCCACTAAAAGCGCGATAACCATCAGAATCCAAAATAACGAGCCTAGAATTGCAACTAGTGAATAAATATCTACCTGCATCTACAAATAGATGTCAGTTAATACAGAGCAGACCAATTTCTATTGCACTGACATTCGAAATCAAAACCCTGGTCGACTGGACCAAAAAGTATAGAGACTGACCCAAATCGAACATAGCAATTAAGTAACAAATTTGCAGTATATTTATACCAAACGGATTAAAATCATAGCCATATGGATTATTCTCAGATTGTTGGTCTTCCATATTAAGAACCGAAAATCTACTTATTTAAAAACATATGTTTCGGAACATATTTATAAAATATATTTCATGAGAGCAGGTCATAAGGCCTACTATATATTTATATATATAATATTTGTTTGTGATTATGTCACAGAATCTTATAAGAAAAACGGATTATTTTTTTTAGATTTCTTCTTTTCCGGTTTCTTTGCCTTTTTATCTGGTCTCTTATGGGTCTTTTTGGATTTTTTCTGGCTCTCTATAAATCGTTAATATATTGCATACATATATTTTTATATCTTAATAGGTTGGAGTAATACACTTTTATTGTACCTTTACACGCTTTTTCATCTCGTTTTTTCTTTGTTGTTTTCTGCTGATATGGATCCATACCTAAATAGTACTTATATACTAGATATATACATATGCTCTCGATAACTGAAAATAAGAAAATATATTTTGAATCCCAAAATTATAATCTAAGTCAAAGTCTCACGCACAAATTCCCACAAATATGATGAAAAACTCTTTTAAGTGAACCCAATCAACTGTTATAGCAGACACGATGATCCAGATTGAAAATCCTATATCCACAATAAAACCAATTATTGAGAAGATCAGCCATATTTTAACTAATATAGGACGCCGCTTTATAAGGATATATTTTGTAGACATTTAATTAAAATATCAAATTATTTTACTTACCTTCCAGAGACCAACAATTAATAGCACCACTATTAGCACCCAAAATACAGTTCCCACAACCGCCAATGAGGAGTATATATTGAACTGTTAAATAATAGCTTTTAACGGCCTTATCAGTTTATTCAAATATCTGACTTACCCTCGTGACCAAGAAAATTGTCGCATTGACCACAAAGAAAATCGCATGACAAAAATCGCATATGGCAATGACGACACATATTTGCCGTAAGTTTCTTTGAATGAAATCCGTTAGTCTTGAATTTTCGTTTGTATTGTTATTTGTTTTCTTTTTATGCTTTTCAGCGACCATACTTCAGAGTTAAGTAGTGGAACTTTTGATATATTTCATATATGTGAGTGATGTGGCGGAGCACATTAATTGAGTTTTCATAAATAAATACTATAAAAAAATATTTAAGGTTCGAGATACCGCTCAATGGTTGTAAAATAATGAAAAATAGCATTTCTTTCGTTAAGCAGAATCGTAAAAGTTCACTGTACATCTGTTAACATAACATAGCCAGCTGTTTGTTTACCGATGTGGCAAGGCTTAGAATGTTAGTTGCAATGGTATAAGCCACGGTACGGTTGTTTCACACTGGTCAATTAATTGGTCTTAAGTTATTATACGATTGAACTTCTGAAACTAATTTATAAGTAAACAAATATGCCTATCATCGTAAAAACGTAAGTAATATAATATAATATAAGATTATTTCATCCATAAATATAGTTTTAAAATTGATAAAAATAATTTACATGGCTCATATAGCAAAGTTGCCAGTTCTTGTAAATTCTCGCGCCTTTTTTCGCTTCTTTTTTTAACTTTGCAACACTGGAAACAGCTGTTTCATATGTGAAACAAAGTTTCACTGAGCAACAATTTCACAATGGGGCCACCAAAAAAGTCTAAAAAGGATCGGGGCTCAAGCGATAAATTTGGTAAGAACGCAAAAACAATTGTAGTATCCGGTAAAACTGATACGAGTTCACAGCTAAGAAGCGTCGCGCTGAAGATGAGGCTTACACCCAACTGGTGGATGACAATGACAGCCAGGACTATGCCAGCGAGTCGGACGGCGTGCCGGGCGCCGCGTCCAAAAACGCAGAAACCAACGATGAGAACACCAACACAGACGAATACGGTGCCAAAGACTACCGTACTCAGATGCAATTGCGTCCTGATCACGCTAATCGCCCTTTGTGGGTGGCACCGAATGGGCACGTGTTCCTTGAATCATTTTCGCCGGTCTACAAACATGCCCATGACTTTCTTATTGCTATTTCGGAGCCAGTCTGCCGGCCTGAGCACATACATGAGTACAAGTTAACAGCATACAGCTTGTATGCAGCTGTATCTGTAGGACTGCAAACACACGACATTGTGGAGTATCTAAAGCGCTTGAGCAAAACCACCATTCCTGAGGGCATATTAGAGTTTATACGTCTCTGTACATTGTCGTATGGAAAAGTAAAGCTTGTTCTAAAGCATAACAAATACTTTATTGAGTCGCCACATCCAGAGGTGCTTCAAAAGTTGCTTAAGGATCCGGTCATTCAGAAGTGCCGACTCATACGCAACGAAGGCGAAGGCTTTATACAGGGCACAGTGGATAGCAAAGCCATCACACAGTTCGGTACCAAGCTGCCAACGGGGGTTGATAATCCAGCAGAAGATTCGGCTAGCACTTCTGCAGCAGGAGGGACAACAGCTGCAGCAGGTGCCACCGGGGAGGGTGGAGCTGCAGCGGTAGCAGTTCCTGATGACATTACAGACTTCTACGAAAAGATAGACAAAGAAGAAGAGGACGAAGACGAAGCCAATCTTAAAACAGTATCCTTTGAGGTGGCTCAGGAAAAAATTGAGCTTATACAAAAGCGGTGCATCGAAATCGAGCATCCCCTACTAGCAGAGTATGATTTTCGTAATGATACGAACAATCCCGATATTAACATTGACCTCAAACCGGCAGCGGTGCTGCGTCCCTACCAAGAAAAGAGCTTGCGTAAAATGTTTGGCAATGGGCGAGCACGCTCTGGCGTAATTGTGCTACCGTGCGGCGCTGGAAAGTCCTTGGTGGGTGTCACCGCCTGTTGTACTGTCCGTAAGCGCGCCTTGGTGCTGTGCAACAGCGGTGTTTCAGTGGAACAGTGGAAGCAGCAGTTTAAAATGTGGTCCACAGCAGACGACAGTATGATTTGTCGCTTTACCTCGGAGGCAAAGGATAAGCCCATGGGCTGTGGAATACTGGTTACCACATACTCTATGATTACGCACACACAAAAGCGATCATGGGAGGCGGAACAAACGATGCGCTGGCTACAAGAGCAGGAATGGGGTATCATGGTATTGGATGAGGTGCACACCATACCCGCAAAGATGTTTCGTCGTGTCCTGACCATTGTGCAGTCCCACTGCAAGCTTGGCTTGACAGCCACGCTATTACGTGAGGACGACAAAATTGCAGATCTGAATTTCCTAATTGGTCCCAAGCTGTACGAAGCTAACTGGCTGGAACTACAAAAGAAGGGATATATAGCACGTGTACAGTGTGCCGAAGTGTGGTGTCCCATGTCGCCGGAGTTCTATCGCGAGTATCTAACCACCAAAACGTCCAAGAAAATGCTGCTCTATGTAATGAATCCTTCCAAGTTCCGCAGCTGTCAATTCCTTATTAAATACCACGAGAAACGTGGCGATAAGACGATTGTCTTTTCTGACAATGTGTTCGCCTTGAAGCACTATGCCATCAAGATGAACAAACCATTCATCTATGGCCCCACATCTCAGAATGAACGTATACAAATTCTACAGAATTTCAAGTTTAATGCCAAGGTATGAGAATATTGCTTCCTAATCGAACAACATACTCATTAACACTATATTTTGCCATAGGTCAACACGATTTTCGTGTCAAAGGTGGCCGATACTAGTTTTGATCTGCCCGAGGCGAATGTGCTCATTCAGATTTCATCGCATGGCGGTTCACGTCGTCAGGAAGCACAACGTTTGGGTCGTATTCTGCGTGCCAAAAAGGGAGCTATTGCCGAGGAATATAATGCATTCTTCTACACCCTAGTCTCACAGGATACAATGGAAATGAGCTATTCACGAAAGCGCCAGCGGTTCCTGGTGAATCAGGGCTATAGCTATAAAGTCATCACACATCTTAAAGGCATGGACACCGAAACTGATCTTATGTATGGAACACAGGAGGAACAGGGTCAGCTTTTACAGTTGGTGTTGTCTGCTTCTGATTTGGACTGTGAGGATGAGAAAGTACCAGGCGAGCCAGGCTATCGTCCAGGTGGTTCTAGCACCACGAAACGTATGGGTGGCCTCAGTTCAATGTCAGGAGGTGATGATGCCATCTACTATGAGCATCGGCGCAAGAATGTTGGCAGCGTACATCCATTGTTTAAGAAATTTAGAGGATAATTGATAATTGACTGTGCACAACAGAATAAATGTATCTCAGCCGTATAATGTTGTTTTTCTGTAAACCCTTAGTTATGTACTATAAATGTCCCAGACTCTTATATTGGTGTGAATCATAGTGTAATGTCTGCTTCTTTATTTTAGTCACAACGCTGGCAGTGGTGAGTGGGCCATCATCGAACTGCAAGGTGATCTGGAGGTGCGTAGCAATCAAAGCATGAACGATCAGTTTATAGGTGATCTGTACTACAACAAATATGGACAGCCCGTAAGTAGAGCTAGCTAATAAAAGTCCTTAATAGATATGCAGCATTACTGCTTTCAGATACTAATAATAGGTCATCACATATTACAAGGACGCGAGCAGAAGCTGGAAAAACCGTTTGCAGTGCTGGAGAAATCGAAAACTAACGAAGGACATCAATTACTCAATACGACTGATGCAATGCTAGAAGCAAGCACCATGAATGTCACCGAAGGAGCCGAGCGAACACTGCTGGATGATACAGTAGCACTGGAGCACAAGAGTCGCCAGCGAACCGAATACACCGTGCGGGCTATTTGCTCGAAGAAACTAATTTTTAAGTCCCGACCGAAACCAATTATAGCCAATGTGGCAAAAACCGTTTAATTGTTCGATATTTTTGAGTCACTTTGTATTTAGTTGAATAGATAAGCTTTGAAGAATATAATTGTTTGTAAGCATATTAAACTATTTCCATTTCCCGCTCGATGCCCACAAATTTGAGCTGCTCAGTTGGCCCGTATCTGTAGTCAAAGAACAGTTCCTCGCCAGGTTGTATGGCGCGCTTGGCAAAGATTCCGATACGATGATCCCCTGTGACCATCATGACCTTGGCATAGCAATTGGGATTAATCGAATGGTTGGCGAACCGAATTTTGTTGCCTTTTCGTGTGGCATCCACAACGAAATCATTGTTCAAATTGAACAAAAATGAGCACATGTACTTGTCATATACTTTGCCACGACGGTCGGCCTCATCCTGCGAGATTATCTCGCCGCAATATTCTGATATGAATTCATTTTTCTGTGCGCCCTCTTTAAGGAAAATGCCCCATCCGGCTATATCCGAGGGTGCCATTAGCAAATGCTTGTCTGCAAAGAAAACGATTAGACAAAATCTTCATAGTACTACAAATACGTGTTACTTACGCAATCCACGCTGCACGCAAACATTTTTGCAGGTGATTTTGGTCAGCTTAAATTGATCGGCTCCGCAAGCCTGACACAAGTCTGGATCGCATTCGCGCACCGCCAAATAGCAAGGACATTGCTTGGTATTGCACTGAGCCTTGCAACGACAGCCTGGAAAACGATTCTGGCAGTCACTGCTGCAGTTGCAAAACTTCTCGCAAAAGTTCTGCGTTTGAATGCAGGAACAGTTCATGTCGCAAGGACCGGCGTGATCGCAAGGTGTGTAGTTGTACACATGATTGGACGATGAGTCCTTCTTCAGCTGTATCTTGCGGCAATGTAGGGACCACAATCGCTGCTTCTTCTTCTTCTTTCGGGGCGGAGTAAAGTCTTGACGTAGATCCTCAAAGCTAAACTCGGCTGCCTCTTTCTGCGCAAACTCATAAACCTGCCGACAAGTCTTCGTAAGCATATTATGTGCAACGGCACAATAATTCTTTAGGTACACCTTGTGCAGTACTCTAAAGAGCGCTTGGTCGGCACCAGTCCAAACACACTGCGTGCTGGTTATGTTCATCATTCCAGCTACAACAGAAATTATTTTAGTTCGGAAAGTACTTTTCTTTAAGGCACATCATTTCCCGTTGGCCGAAGCCATTTCCGAGCCTCTTTGCCTTTCTGCATGTATAAGCAAATTTACCCATTATGGAGTTAATTTCTGCACTATTGACAGCTATGCTATTATCCTTCCCATTCTCGGGGTTGAAGTCCTTGTTGCTAAACTGGCTATTGCTGTCATTGCTGTCCTCAGAGCTGGCTTCGTTACAAGAATCTATGGGCGGCGTCTTACTATCAGCTGCCAGCTTCTCCTTCATCCCATCCTATCAGCAAAACAATGATGAGCACCCAAAATATTTACATTAATTAAATGTGGAACTTACTATTAACATATAACAAGAGTTGCTACATGGGTCCGCGAAGGTCTTTAATTCTGGATAGCGACGCTTTTGTAGATTTGGACCAGCATGTCCCTGCAAACCTGTGAATCGAAATTGAAACATTTTGAGCACAAATGGGTACGGATAACAGCAAAGTCATGACTATGAGACATTCGGGGTTAGAGCATGAATCAGATACGTTACTTAACGAGGGATGCAAAAGCCGCACGAAATGAGGCGAGAAACACCAAGAACATTTTGACACAAGACAATTTCTGCCGATTTCCACAGACATAAAATATATATATATAGGAAAGATTGATGATGATGTGGAGCAAGGCGACTTTTTGGCCTAGGCGGCATGAGTGTGTGTGCGTGTGGTTATCGAGAACAACAACTACAACAACGACTCACCCTGTACATGGTGACCTAAATTGCAGTTATTTATTTTAACAAAATTTAAGAGTTTTTAGACAAAAGAAATGTTTTGCAACAATTTTTGTTTGTTTTCCAAATAAAGAGAAAAAGCAAAAACAAAACGTTATTAAGAGTAACCCAACTGGAGGTAACACACAAAGATTTCACTTACGATGAAGGAAGCAGTCATATTTAAAACAACGTCGGCAGAACAGCGTATGGAACGAGTGCATAGTACGTTCACGGGACACACTCTCCGCCTTAGTGCCATCGATGTTGGGTGTGCACTCCTGGGGACGCTCTGGATCTTGATGCTCGGTGAGCTCAATGTACCTATATGAGGAAATACGTTTAGCATATAATTTTCGTAATATAAAACCAAACACACTTTTCCTTCAGTTCCTGAGCAGTGCCCTTATCTGGAAAGTTGGCGCTGATTGCTTGAAATATGATTGGTGCTGGAAACGGTAGTTTCTCTTTAACTTTCTCTACTTTGCACTTTGTATCTGCCACATCTGTATTGGACGATTCCTCTTTATCATCTTCTATAGTTGAAGATGCTTCTATTGTTGGCTCTACTATTGCCGGGGTCGCATTTTTCTCCTCTTCCTCTTTAAGTTTTGATGTTGTTATAGTCTCTGTTTTAACAGACGGACTTGCCGCAGTTTCCTCCAAGTCCTTACTGTGCGAGCGCATCAGCGCATGCACTAATTCTACAAATATGGCATCGTCCATAAAAGATGGATCTTTGTCGCCATGGACTTTGCCATCATAGTTCTTGATCAGTTCCTCTATGAACTTTCCATCCTTGTCGAGCACTTCGTCACCCATATACGGAATGTTATGCAGCACAGTCTCATCCTCGACCATAAAATTCTGCTGTGTGGGCGCCCATGTGTACATTGTGGGAATAGGCGTGACGGCGTTGATCACGCAAATGGGGACACGTTGAGGACCGCTGTTGGGACCATTGTAGCTAGTAACCTCAGCACGCTTAACGCAGTCAACGTGTGGTGGATCGTATGGCTTTGCCTGCCATACCTTTGAGTCGCAATATAAATCCTGCACATTATGATTGTGCTCATCCCTAAGTAGACGAACATAGTAAATAGACGCCGAGTGATACAGTGTCTCTGTATAGCTAATTTACCAGTTTTTGATCCATGCTTCTTTGATTTCATCAGCACGTTTATATCGCTTTTGCTGACGTATTTTCATATATTCCAACTTGACCACGCGTTTCCATTCTTTGCTACTCATATTTGATAAAAATTTTTGCAGCAACTATTTATGGCGGACTTTTGCAGTGTTTGGTAATGTAGTTAATTTAAAAAAGTGTTGGAATATGGTAGAAACAGTGGTGGGAAGAACAATCATTTAATCAGCTGCTCGTTGTTTACACCACACCAACTTTAAGAGATTTCGAAGTTTTCTTTAGTATATTGTATTTTTTTCGGTATTTATATTTGGCATTATTTAAGAGGAAATTCAACACAATAACAAATTAAATGTGAAATCTTATCAAAATAAGGAAAAATTACACAAATAAGCTGGACAATTTCAAACACATCAAGGCAGCCACGAGCATCGAGGAAATTGGCGCGATGGAACCATCAGCTTGCGAAGACTTAAAGGCATTCGAGCGGCGACTAACCGAAGTGGTTTCATCATACAGACCACCCACGTTCCGTTGGCGCAGTAAGAAACAAAGTTTTTCGCATTAAGCCGGACGGAAACACATAAATAATCGCTTTTATTTCATATTACAGTCATACTATCTGCATTATCCGTATGCACAGCAATCAGCGCATGGTATTGGCTGAAAGATCCGCGCACGACCGTTGTGCCGCTAACTGAATCTCTATGGATACACCCCATCTTCACAGTGGCCACAATCACATTAATATTCCTCTTCATTTTTGGCATACAGAAGTTGGTTGTGGCACCACAGATAATCACGTCGCGTACGCGGACAGTGCTAACAGATTTTGCCCTGGACCTAGAGCCGCATACTGGAAAATTAATATTAAAGCCTCGACAGAGTAATAACAATGGATGTACATGAAGGCTTCTAGATACAATCTTTTAATTTGCCTTGCCCATGTCCATTTATAACCTAACTATGATGCACACTTCCACGCTGATCGTATATTTGCATCCGAAACCTTAGTTTAATGCATAAAATCCCAATATAATCTTATCTAATCTAATCACAAAATTACACACTTTTGATTGGTTCCACTTGTACAATGTCAATGCTGGCAATGTTTAGCAGAGAAACAAATATAATTAATAATTTATGGATCACACAACCAAATTAACAATATGATAAATTGTAGCTCAGCTCACAGGCCAATTTTATTTACATAAATTATCTGATAGTCTTATAATGAAGTTTATCTTTATATGGCTTTGGGAAAGAGATCCTTTTGTTGACACGATTTTTGCCTAAAAACTCAAATAGAACAAATTTTAATTAATGTAATTGATTTAAGGTCCTTTGCTCAACAATATGCGCTCATATATGTAAAGGATGATATAGTTTTTATGCAATTAATAAATTTTTAAATTTATTTAAAATTCGCTTGAAGTGCGTTTTTCAATTAAATATTAAAGACAAGCCAAAATATATTTATATATTTATATATATATATATATATATATATATATATATATATATATATATATATATATATATATATATATATATATATATATATATATATATATATATACATATGTATTATATGTATATAAATAAACAAATAATATACATCCATATATATTTATTATATGCTGATTGCTTATAAGCAGCGGTTCGTTTGTTATGAGGCGGGTATTTCCGTGTACTAATTACAGTTTCACCTGTTCGAAATAAATTAAAACATATATGTTTCTAGGTGTAAGGTAAATCTCTACTATAAATGAAAGCCCGTCAATACGATTGCACTACATTTGCCACTCGACCACCATTCAAGATGAAGATTTTCTTTCTGGCTTTGCTCGTGCTGGGCATTGTATTCAGCTTGTCTGCAGGTAAGACTAAAAAAATGCATATAAGCTGAAATTTTTAATATTCCACTAACTAAATTATAGCTCACTCCCATGAACACCCAGAGGGCACAGGACATGACCATCATCACAAGTTTGTGCGCAGCTTAGCCGCCGAGCCAGACAACAAAAACCTAGCATGTTGCGGCTGATGTAGTGCATCAGTGGCTATGGTCGCTATATCGCAATGGTGTTCCACATTACCGCCACGTATTATAATTAAATATATTAATAAAGAAGCAATATTTTGAAAATCCATATAAATATACTTTTTAATTACTACTCCGCTCTGCTTAGCGCGGATCTTCACAGGTTTACGTCTCTGATATTATTTCTTCGATATATTCCTTATAGATATATAATAACTATTATTATAAGTTTCTAATAGAATTGTAGGCCACTGGCTACTACTAACTATTATAATTGTTTTATAAGTTCAAGTACAGTCTGTGACTTGAGCAGTATTTTCTTAAATTGTCTAAACGAGTGCGAATTCTTCACTACTTTCCAGTAGCGTTCCTTAAATTTAATTCATTTTTATTTTATTTATTTAATTTTTAAGCATTTGGTTGCATTTGAATTCTGGTAAAAATGTACTGATATCCATATGTAAATAATAAATTCCTGTCCAAATATTTACGATCAACTGTAGATATCTATTTTATTTGTATCCAAAATATATATAGTTATGGCCACGGTATTACACCGTGCCACAATCGTAAAAATTTATTTGAAGCCTGCAAATCTGAAACATTATTAATTTATTTGGAGATTTGTGATCTATGCCTAAAATATAAGCCCTAAGACATTTTTATTGAACCTGTTTATTGAAAATATATTATCGATGAGATGCCAACACAAGAAAAATTAATGAAATTTCTGAGATGGATGCTGTTTTCAATGCGCTGCGTTTTACTTCATATTTCATATATTATACAGCGATACCAGAACAAGACGCTCAGAATGATTACATGTGCACCTTGGTATGTGACTAATTATAATATCCACAAAGATGTTAAACTTCCACTTGTTAAAGAAGAAATACAACTATATGCAAAAAGATACATGAATAAACTACATAACCACGATAATGCTCTAGAAATAGATAAATATGTAAAGTCGCTAAATATATGGATTGATCTCATTGGAGCCCAAGCCATCTGGTTGTATAATATTATTGTTAACAAATTTGTTTATTGTCTAGTAAAATAAAAACAGCAATTAAAAAAACAAAGAAAAAAATTTTTCATATTGAATAAAAGTATGAAAAATTAAAATTATAAAAATATATCATAAGCAAATCGCGCATCTTCTGCTCCCCTGATAGGAGTATATAAATAATAATATATATTTTATATGCATATATAGACTCCATTCACTATTTACTATAAATTAATACATATAATATATATATAATGAAAGTAATCTTATTGCACTGTATTTCCTGACAACCGTTTACACGAATGAGCTGCCAACAGAACATATTGATTACCAATTTTTCACCTGGCTTGTTAATGAATGCATCTGTTTAGCTGCCCGTAACTAAGTGAAGTGCGATTTGTAATACCAAATGTTGGTTGTAAAATCTTATTAAGAAATAATTATATAACCATGGACAACCAGTATAAATATAGACGGCAGTCCACTGTGAGCTTATCGAAGTTCGTTGTTCGCCATCCAAGCTCAATGATGAAAATATTCTTCCTGCTAGCACTCCTCATTGGTGTTGTTTTCAGCATGTCGGCAGGTAAGACCAAGGACTTGATTCGACTAAGTGTTGAGCTGTAATCATTTAAGTTTTCGTATTTTAGGTCAGCCGGTCGATGGAGCTGAACTAGCGGGCCCTGCAAATCAGGAACATCAAAGGATCGCCCGTGCAGTAGGCGCCGTCCCGGACGACAACACGCCAGGAAAGGAGGAGCCAAAGGCTTGTTGCGGTTAAACAGCTTAGCATTGCATGGGTTACATGATCCTTAACAATAAGCAACGCAGCATTTTATAAAAAATATAGAGAATATTTTTAAAAATCCAAAAAACTTCAATGTCTTATGTTTGAATTTTCTACCTTGAAATTATTCGTATGTTTAAGAACTTATCCTGAATATTTGTCGGAATCTAAGAGGACAAAGAGCTGGTCTGATCTGTGCTCTAGTTAATTCTCATTATACCCTGCATTATTAATTAAGCTGATTCAAAGAATCGTTTCACTAAAAAAAATATGTAAGTCTTTAATATGTGTTTTTAGTTTATTTTTGTTTTGCATTGTTGATTGTTTTTTCTTTATCTTTTCTTTGTTTCTTTTTTGTTTTTTTTTTTTTTGTTTTGTTGCAATACAAGTTTTATAAATTTCTATGTGTAAATCTTAAAGTATTATTGCGCAGCGTTCTTCTATAATCAGACATACGAAGGTTCGTTATATGTTTATCAAATCTTTTGTTTTTGTTCAAAGTGAAAATATAAATGCATCTGCGTTATTACTGCGTGTGGTTCAGTTAGTTTGTTTGTTGTTCAGGCCTTTGTTTTGTTATCCTTTTGTTTATAATTAATTGTAATTTTATATAGTCATGTACAAAAAAATATGCTAAATTGTATTTATTTAAAAATGTATTTAAATTTATAATCTCTGGTTAGTAGTTGAAATTGAAATTTAGGATATTCATTTCTATCATATTTTACTTTGCGCTAATTTGTTGTTTATTATTCAATTTGCAATAGGTTTGTTCATTACTTAATATTAGTGCTAGATTATGATCTAAATATTGTTGCTGTTGTTGCTGGTTGTTGTTACTGATATATTTTCTTTTTAACTTCTCAAGGAGGCGCCAATCAATACGAAAAATATACATATATTTATTACAAATGAATACGACAAATGCTGGAAATGCATAAATTAAACTAAATGCTGCCTCCTTTCTGCACAACACTCACACAATTTAAACATTATATTTCTATATATATATACTCGTAGTAGAAGCCTATTAATTACATAAATAAAAACCGTTTAAATCTTTAAACAAAGTTAACGTTACAAATTTTACACATAAACAAAACGATTTGGCTTGATCCGCGCCCTTAATCCGGCATTATGCGGCTAGCATATTACGTATGTTCTTCGGCGTATTCTCCTCGTTTAGATGCTTCGTCGTATAGCGCAGGGCATTCAGCAGTGGCTCCGCTTTTATCGCTGGTTGTGCCTGCAATAGTCGCACACATCCCTTCACGTCTACATGGGCACCGCGGGCAAATGCGCCCACCGGATGGACGTGATCGTAGAGTATGACCAGGCCGACCATCACGCGCAGCACCAGCATTTGCGTCTCTTCCCGTTCAATCTGTTGCAGAAGTTTTCTGAAAGGCACCAGAGTTTTATAATTTTCTTTCTATAGGTTTTATATTTTATTCGATTTCCACTTACGGATTCTCCAACATTCGTAGGCACACCTTGGCCATGGTGCCAAGCGTTTCTGTAGTATTTTGCACATCGTCCGCATTATCATTCACAAATTTGGATGTGGCCTCGCTGAGCACTTTCAGCATGGGCGTGGCATGCGCATAAAACAACGACATACGATTCGCCAGCTCTGTACTGACCAGCATGTTTTCCGTAGAATCGATGCGCTGTCGACTGACAATGCGCCTGTAGTAGCTGAAGTCGTTCTGTATGGCGGGTGTTTTCATCTACAAAGATACAAACAATTTACAATTGGTAAAACTTGTTAAATCTATTTATAAACTCTATTTGAATCTTCTGATTCAGTGTCAAATTGGAATCTAGTTAATTGAAGATGATTATATTCTAGTCCAACAGGATTTAGACCTTCTTAGATATGTTGTATAAGCTGCACTGCTTGTTAATTTAATTATTGCCTGTAGAGCAGTGTACTGCTTATGAGTTTCATTTCAATTTCTGTGCACTGCTTGGCTTCCTACTTTAATTGACGCTAGACTAATTTAGATCTAATTGCAGTACGTGACATCGTAGTCGTACTTAATTTTTTTTGTAATTTGCAGCCAGGCCCAAAATTCAGTTTTCGAGTACATTTGATGACGCTTGAGCGTCTATTTAGCTGTCAGGGCTGCAGTGGAGTCGTGCGTGAGAAAAACTTCTGAGAGCTGCCGCCAGTCTAGCCGCCCCGACAACTTGCGACTGTCTCATCATTTACCTTGAGGGAGCGCTTGAAACATGACAACATCTTATACTATATATAAATGTGCACAAAACCTTATATAAATACGTTATTAGCATAAATCGTTCTAACAGTAAGTAACAATGCGGCAACCAGAACGGATCAGCAACAGCAGCTTGAAAAGCTTTCTTTGTGTGAGTTTCGTGTGATTTCAGATAAAGCTATTATTAAACCCGAAGTTGATTAATTTAGACTTGTGTAATATTATCATGATAGTTCATATTCTCGCTAATGGCGCTGCGCTTTACAGCAGCCCAGCTTGCACCACCCACGTACAATGGCCATTTCGGGGGCTATCATCAACAGCAATCAGAGCAGCAACAGCGGCTCGGCTATTCAGACGCTGGGCTGACCTACTCTCGGGGTTATTCTGCACCTGTGCAGTCCAGGTGGTCTGGTGCGCCAATTGTTGTTAATGATGAAGCGAATATACTCCAACAGCAGGAACGTCCATATTTGCCCATTAATTACTACAACAATAGAGGCGAATATGCCTCTGTCAGGCCGGATCCCAGGAACCCAAATTGGCTCAACCACAATCTGCCGCCCACACGTGCTGCCAATCACAATTACAACGACAACAACAACAATGGCTACTACTACTACACACAGCCACAAAGCCAGCAGGAACTGGATCAACGTGAGCTACTCACTGTAGCTGACTCCCGACGTCCAGAAGACCAAATAGTTCGCATAGGCGGCAGTCGCTCCTTGGCTTACAACAACAACAACAACAACAACAACAACAACTACAGAGACAGTGAGAACTATGTTGAGCCTGCTCTATTGCTGGGCCAACACGAATTTCAGGCTAAATATGCCAAACATTATTCCGACTACTTGCGCAAATACCCAAAAAGATTGCAGCCACATTTCCTCAACACTCAACAATTCATTGATAAATAATCAGCCCAATTTGTTGAACTCTAAAAGAGTTATAAAACTTACTTAAAGTATGTTCCCATTTGCCAGTGCCTGTGCCAAGTATCTTAATTGTTGACAAATCTATGCCAAGCTAAACAATACAGCGAACGACCTAATAACGCACAACCGTGTTGGCCAAGCGGCACGCTTCTAAGAGAATTATTGTTGATTTATATGTTAAATAGCTCTAAGCCACCAAATAAATAAACGAAAATAAAATTTTTAAAATGTGGTGTTATTATTATATCATTATTATTTTATTATTATTATTATTATTATTTTATTATTATTACGATTTTATTATTATTATATTATGATATCAAGAATCAAATACAATAATTGAAATTTGTATCTTTTTAACATTCTTTTGCTATTCGAATACTGAATGTCTGCTGACCAGAGTGTTCACCGCAGTTGAGCAGTTGGTGTAACGTTTTGCAGTATTCAGCTTAATAAAAAGTGTAGCATACTTTGAGGCATTTTCTCAAAACACAAAGGGCCGACACTCCAGGCAAGAAAAAAGTGTGGAAAGGCAGCAATTGCCTAGAAACGGAAATGCCTGTTACTATTACAGTTAGGCACGTTTGGACCCTAGAAATAAGTATTTGAAGTGCCTACACATAAGGCAAGTGCATGTGCACATCCCTGCGAGTGTGTGTGTGTGTAACTGATACTTAAACACACAACAGCACCTTCATCTCTCTCAAGATCCTTACTATTAACTTCAGCAACAAATTTACAGTCATGAGTGCGAATCAGCCGATGACGTTGAACTTTATCGAGCTGACGCGCTTTATACCCCTGCCCGCTCCAGCATTCCTTGAGTTGCAGTTTCATAAAAGTTTTATAAAACGGAAACGAGCAGTGGGATAACGCGTGAACACACACTTGCTAGAGCATAAATCGATTTGTATATGCTTGACATAACAAAACAGTCGCATTTATATACTTTTCAAGGGGAGGAGGGAATACAGAGGGAATACAAAGGGATACAGAGAGAAATCAGATCTCAAAAGTTAAGAGTTAACAGTTTAACCTACATTAAGGCCGTTTTGTTTAGTTGTAAAATTTTGCATTAGACAATTTGAATGCTCTAAATCCATTTTAGTTTTCTGCAATGATATCTATAAATCACGGGCAGAGAACGGCATTTTATATTTGCATTGATTCTTGATCAATTCGACGAGATAAGTGATTCCAACTATGCCATTCTAAATGAGTATTTGACAGAGATTGGGCTGCAGTACGGGCTTTACTATGGGAATTTAATTATTAAATTACTCTTCTAGATTGGACTTTTCAGAGCTTGATTATGACATTTATATATGTTTTTGCTATTTTGTATTCATCACTGAAACCCACACAGTTAATCTGAAGTATTCAAGCTACGCTTAAAAAAGAATTCAACTTATCGATTCTTATCGAATTATAATTATAAGCTCGTACTGCGTATGGTATAGACAAGTAAACTATTCAAATTTCAAAGCTCTAGCTTTCGAGACTTACAAGATTGCTGCGTTCACCCTGAAGGACAGACGGATATAGCAAGATCGACTAAGCTTGGCATCCTGAGCTAGAATATGTAGACTTTATGTGGTCTGCCACGCATTCTTCTGCCTGTTGCATACATTTTAGCAAAACCATTATGATTTAGTTTCCCATTTTCAATGCACTCAGGCTATGAAAGCTACACTCAAAGCTCGATATTTTAAGTGCGAATTAAAATCGATTTTAATTCCGATTATTTCCAGCCGAACTTGACGATTATAATAGTCTTAAAATGAAATCTATTAAAATACCGAATCTTGAAAGATTTCTGTATGTGTAGGATTTACATCGGTCTCTGCCCAAGTTTAAGATTTGTTGTTTGATATTTAGCCACAACTCAAACCAGATTTGTTTAATTCTGAGCTGAGCTCAAGATATTTTCGATTTAGTTTGCCGTAGTGTGGTCTAATAAGAGAGCCTCAACCACACATGCATAGAGAGAGGGAAATATACATAAAAAAAAAGAAAAATATTTTTCTATTAACAGTTTTAAATTATTTTGAACACGCTTCAACCGAGTTACTAGAGATACGCTCAGCCTCAAAACACAACGTTCTGCTTTGCGTGCTCACTGAAGCGCCGACATTTGGCCAAGCCAGTAAAATGAGTGCGTGTGTGCGCAGCAAATGAGGCTTCACTGTAGAACGCATGCAGCAACGTTGAAGATATTTCATCAATGAGCAGCAGCACGCGCTCGCCTTAACTGACTGGCAGACGGACCGACGGGCAGCTGGAGGGACCGAGAGACGAATGGATAGATGTACGAACTGGCAGTCAATTAAAAATGCAACCACGCGCGCAATGAGTTGGCAAAGAGTTGGCTAAGACCTCAACCGGCTGTTGCACCCACATAAGGTAAGCCAAACGACAGCAAACGTTGCCTGCTCTGGTCGGGTCTGGTCTCAAAGAAGACATAACACTGTTGACCCACGCGCCTTGAAGCAGCGATATATTTATACATTGGGCGTAACTGGTGCCCAAACTAGGCAAGAGTTGTAACACACATACACCCACACAAACACGCACACACACACACCACACACACACACACACACACACACACACATGGCTGTCGTGTAACTCACCTTGTACTCATCGAATTTCAACACAAATTCCAATATCTCAGCCAGCTGCTTGACCAGCGCCTGCTGCGTCTCCAGATGCTGTGTCGGATTGAGCTTGCCGCCAACCAATTGGCCCAGCAGCTTGGGCACTATTTTGTCCAGCTCCAGGGAGTGCTCGTAGCACCGCTTCAGCTGATGACCAATGGAAGCACCGCAGACCACGCTTTGGCCTGCACCTCCGGCGAGGGATCAGCGATGGCTTCGCGTATTTCTTTGTTGGCGCCCTGCAAACACACATGAAAATGATTTAGTTTTTCTTTCAATTCAATATTGGCGTTGCCTAGTGAAATGTTCGCCTGACATGCAAACAATAAGCGAATAAACGGTTTTCCTCGCGTTTTATAGATTTCATTTTCTCTTTTCAGGCATTTTTTTATTACAGCAACACAACTTGCATTGTTGTTGTTGTTGCTTTAGGCTTTATTATTTCTATGCCACATGCAAACAATGACGCCGACGACGACGACGTCGCTGCGTGCAGTGACCAGCGCTGCGATTTTTATCGACACTCTCTGATCTAGATTCTAGCGAGGAAACCACAAAAAAAGCACAACACAAAGCCCAATGAATGCTCGGTCATTGCATGTTTTCAAAAGTTGATTTCAGGTCCGTTTTTTGAAACTTTGCTGCCGCATAGGCAATCAGCAAATGGCGTCGATTATTTCAATTCGTTTCAGTGGCGTTGCAGCTGAGACTCTAATCGACACATGCACAAGTGCCAAGTGCCACTAATAACAGTTAAGTTACCATTTAAATCGCACACAGCTGAAAGGCTAGTGGCTCCAGCAAGTTAATGACCTCAAAGCTGCAATCTTGATTTAATCTGAATATCACAGTTCAAGAAATAAGGCACTACTCATTTGGGATAGTAGGCAAAAACATAAAAAACTTTTAAGTTGATAGTTAAATATTTCAGAAATTATTTTAAATGCATGTATAGAATATAAGCATAGATTCAGTGGCTTGAAATAAGCATTTATAATTCGAACTGTTTGTTGGTATTATGATTTCTGTTTTCATTAAAAAAAGAATTACAAATCAAATAAAGGCATATATTATTTAAAAATTAATGAAATAAAGATATATTAATAGAAAATAAATCATTTTTTCTTAGTTCACATAATTAAGATTTTATATTTATTTTATTAAACGAATCTTTACTGTATTCTAACATCTCTAAATGGGAACAGCTTCTTCTCTTTCGGAATCAGCTTCTGCACACAAAAAAACTACAAAATGAGAAAACTCACTCACAATTTACTAGCTTTGCTGCCTCTTTAGTCTTTGCTCTATTTATTTAGTTTAGCCACACCCACAAATTGTTTATTTTAGATTACAGATTGCAAAGTTAAAAAAGATAGCGTTTTGATTAAAAGGAACTTGGGTCTAAATATAGAAAATATTTATAACGAAATTTTTAGACAAGGCAAAAGCTCAACTCTAATTGTCTGAATGAATGATGTGTTGTTATGTTTGGTACGTGGGCACCTCTTACTGTTTGGGCTGTAATTACATGAGTTCCTGTTACCACATGTTGTATGCTTGTAATTAAATTGCTTCACATATCATCAACAAAAGTCTGCAGCTACCCTCAGACATCGACGAGTGCTTTGGCATAATCAAAATGCAACCGTCGGCATCTAAATCAACACATGGACCCAAGTGGAGCATAAAGCCAGATATGCTGCATTGAAGCAGTAGCTCGCTAGGTGCATTACTTTGTGTGCTAAACAACGTTTACACCTGTCTGTGAAGCTGCAGAAGCAGGAGTTGTCCTTGGCCACCGGCAGCTGTTGGCTGCTGCACTTGAAGCTGCACAAATGTTTAACACGTGCAAACAAACAAGTCACGAAACGAAGAGACAAATAAAAAGAAAGCAAAGAAAAGAACAGATAGAGAGAGGGCGCGAGAGAGGAGGTAAACGAGAGACAGCAAACTCTTTTGACTTTGCTGTTGTATTGTCCCGTTTACGCCTGCGATTCTCTAAGGACTCTTATGGCTGGCCATGCAACGGAAACTGCGCTCCTGCTGCAGCTATGTGGACAGACAGATTCACAGGCTGAGATTGCGCCTTTACTGCATTTCTGTTTATGTGTGTGCGACTCTGTGTGTATCTCAGATGTTTCACATTGTTTCTAGATGTATATGTATGTGTGGGTGTGCATCTGATTCAGCCCCTTTGCTTATTTTCAGGGCATTTATCTCACATCGCGACATGTGCAAGTCGAAAACAAAGAGCCTAGCCATAGGTACAAGAGTTTCTGCTGCATCTTGCGCTTTGTCACAGGAAGCTGGCACAGACTCACACAGACGGACACACACCTACACACACGCACACACACTCCCCACACACATTCGCTCACTTATTCAACATTTGTTGATTCATCGCCTTTTTCCGCAGCATCGCATAAAACGTTACATGCTCCAATAACAAAGCACGTGCTGTGTCTGCTTCATGCATTTTACCAAGAATACTTCACACTTCACCCACAACAGCAACAACAACAACCACAACAAACTTGAACTTGCATGACTTTTAAGAAACAGTTTTCGTTTTGTAACTGTTTCTAGTTCTTTTTTTAATTAACACTTAATGTGCCCAACAACAACAACAACAAATGCGCCATACACGAGCTCAATCGTTCAGCATTTTATCTAATTCAGCTAGAGAGAGAGTAAGAGAGAAAGCGAGAGAGAGAGAGAGATAACGTCCGCCACATAGTTAATTAACTTTGCGAACTGCAGCACTCTGCATAAAAGAAGAAGTAAACTCGTTGTAATTGCTGCCTACTGCCTTCTGCTGCTGCTGTTGTTGTTTTTTATATTTTTTATTGTAAATTAAATTACACTCAACGCGGAAACGAGTGTTTAATCTTCTGCGGCTACTTTGATGTCGACCAACGATGACACTCGCCCAACCAGTGTTGGAGGTCGTTTGCATGTTTAACTAAGCATATATCGAATGTAATAATCGATAAGTGCACATTAAAGTTAAGGGCAGTCGCAGAAGCAACGCCATCATGTGCACAATTAATACCGATCGTCATAAGGATAATGAGTACGGCTTAAAATTTGAAATTTATATTTTGTAACTATCTATAAATAATGAGGACATTTACAACTGCTCAGAAAATATATTATAAATAAATTGG